TGATGGGTTCCACTAAGCATCTCTTCCATAAAGTTTCAGAAAATATTTCAGAGAAGTTTTTTAATGGCCTGGTCGAACGGCGTTAGAATTGCTAAAATATTAACCCGCGCACCGACGGGGGGCGGATATCCCCCCCCCTGAGGTTTTTCGCAAATAGCGGGAAAACCGCGGCGCGTAGCGCCGCGAAATTTGGTATGACTATAACCTCATCAATTTTACACATGGTGTGCAAGTTTGAACCTCCTACCTTTTAAGGTCAGGTCACCAGGTCACTTTGAATGACCCAACCTCAAGTCACTTTTTTGCAACTTTGTCACCGTGCCAGAGCTACAATAGATGTCGGAGGCCTTTGAAAGTCGCAGGATATTATAAGGTCATTGGTAGCTACAATTTGTATATCTCGGAATTTTGATATCGGTGACCTAAGGTCAGGTCAATTTCGCGACCTCCCCATTATAAGTCAATGGGGGAAAAATCAACTCCCTGTTTTTACCACTAAAACGGGTCGGAATGGCCCCATATACCATACATGACTTCATATACGATCAACCTTCACTACCTTGAGGTCTGTTTTGCTGTTGGGCAGCTGTGAGGTCATGTGACGTCATCAAAGGTCACCAAAGGTTTTTGGCCAATGACTCCGTACAGGAACAAGATACAGACGCGTGGATGGTCTCATTGTGTTCAGCTCGTCAAGACGCATCGAATGATATACATGATGACCTCGAGGTCACGTGACCTGAGGTCAACTTTTGACCTTGACCTATCGAGGTCAACATATATATATATATATATATATATATATATATATATATATATATATATATATATATATATATATATATATATATATATATATATATATATATATATATCGATGCGGATTGACGAGAGGATCACGATGATGCCCTTAGTTTGTTCCTATCTTGACTAATACGAAAGTTATTCGAGAAAAACTCTCTCCATATCTAGCGCCGCCATTTTGACTTTTTCGACCCCTGTGACGTCATCTTTGACCTGACCTGAAAATGACCTAAGTAAAAATTGTAGATCTTGGCCGTGCGTATCCGATGCCGTTTACCGCTTGTCGCTATCTTGCTTCGTTCTCGAGATCTCAGGGGGGGCGGTCATCCGCCCCCCCCCCCCCCCGTCGGTGCGAAGTTGGCGCAGACCCCCGTCGGTGCGCTGGTTAAAGTTTGACATGGGCAAGCTCATGCTGAATGATTGCCGTATTTTCAAGAGGACATACATAAAAAAACGCTTCAATACATAATGATTTTTGACAGTTACAGCCGACTGAGAGCAGTTTGTCATTTGATTCCCATTGGTTTCATGTATGCTTAGGTACCGAAGAATTTTAGGCTGCCGATATGAATAAAAAAGATTAATTCACAAGTATCATGTTATTGCATGATTTGTATTTGCGGGCTAAACGAGTCTCTGTTCAAGATCTTTTAAACAAGATCTTTAGGCGACGCGATTAACCATGGCATTATCGCAGTACATATATTATTATCCATAAAACAAACTCAGTTGAGAGAGTCTAAATGGGGAGCAATGTAATGAAAAAGTCAATAACTGATTCAGTGCATGAATGCATGCTGTAATTGTCTTTCATTTAATTACTGCAGGCTGTTACTGCCTCCCCAATCAGACTATTCGTCACCGGCAGCAGAATGAATCCTGTCGCGGTGACCACCCTCGACGATTGGGGAGTCAGCAGCGCCGGCGGTCGAGACCAGACCTGTAAGGGCTGCTCCGGTCGGAACTGAGCACCGCTTCGGTCGGAACTGGGCACAGCTTTCGTCGGAACTGAGCACGGCTTTGGTCGGAATTGAGCACTGCACACTGTTCCCGAGCCGGGATGGTTCCACTAGCGACTGCTCCTTAGGGACACCTTTGGACTTTGGTGCGGCCGCACGCCTCTGGCACATCTCTACCCCGCAGAGACACACAGACGCACCACGGCTGACCTTGGTCTGCCTGTGAGGGCCACCGCCAGTCCCGGCCGGTCTGTGAGAATTAGTCTGTCTGAGAGACCCTCCGGCTGGTCTGGTCGGTCCTCTAGACCCGCCGCTCCCCTCCCCCGTCTGTTTGCAAGGTCCGTTCCTTTGGCCCGGACCGTCTGCCCCTCCCGTCGCTCCACCCAAACTGCGCTCCGGGCTCGGTGACGGACAGCGGCGGCGGCGCGGCGCTCGGAGACACCGTAAATCCGGCCAGCCGGCGCCGTAAAGCTCTCAGAGGACGGCCGTATAACGCCCCTGACAGTCGCCCTTCCCGGCCTGTTTAGGGTCTCGTGGGGTCAACCGACGGCTCAGAACGGCCGAGCTGAGCCGCCCAGGATAGAGTCGCCCAGCACGGTCAGCAAGTTTGTCCAAAAGCTAGACTTACCTGCTGTGCTACCTACGAGTACGGCCTGTATAGCGTTCTGAGTTGCACCTTCGACGGCCGACGCAAATATTTAGACTGTGGACGGGGACAAGCCCAGCAATAACTAAACACCTTATTTTAGGTGTAAAACGCATTGGTATGCAGATGAAATGATTTTGGAGACATTGTTCAAAATCATTGAATTAACTATTCAAAGTAGCTTCTTGGCTCAGTTTGTTCTATTCAGATTAGCAATGCATCCACCATCCTACCCCACTTGCCCTTTGGGGTCATTTAGAAACAACGAACGAATCAAATAAAGAATTACCATCACTGATGGAACAGGCCGCTGAATTTGAGCCTCAAAATATTGTGACCGAAAAGCCTGATCTGGGCTAAAGTTTTGTGGATCTGGGCCCGAATGAGTAACGGACTAACTCAATACATCCGTGGATCAGTCCGGGTCTCAGTCTGCCCTCAATCCGTTTTCAATCGGCACTCAATCCTTAGCTAGGTTAATGACTGTTCTAGATCTATCCGTCATCAAATGATCCCGGGACAGGCTATTGACTGCCATAAAACATTTTAAGTTTTAGTTCGTCCTCAATTTCAGGTCAGGTTCATGACTGCCTGTATCAATCTGGCCCCCGCAACCGCCCTGCATCCCAGGACAGGCTCATGGTAGTCCCGAGTCACTCCGAACCTCCATTCTCCTTCAGTCTGCCGTCAATCCGCCCTCAAGCAGCCGCCAATCCGCCGCCAATCCGCCGCCAATCCGCCGTCAATCCGCCGCCAATCCACCCTCAGTCCACCCTCCATCCCGGCGGCGTCAGGTCAGGGTACGACGGCTCTGACGGGGGCAGCATTCGCCGGCCTCCCTCCTCTAATTGCGTCAGACCAGTATCGACCGCACAACGGGAGCTAAGGTGACGAGAGAGGGCGACGACGACCGACCGCCGGTCGACAGAAATGAATGGGATCCGAGCAGGGCGACAGAAAATGGGAGCAGGTGACGGGCGGTGCAGCCAGAGAAGACGGGCAGCGGCCAGAGGTGACGGTCAGAGGTGAGATAGTTCATGCGTGAGGTGAAAGAAAATGGACCGAGGTAGCTGAATCTAGTTTGCAGAGATTAAAAGAGAACGATTGAGGTGAGAGAAAATGTAACGAGATGACAGAGGATTGGCTGCTAGTAAAGATGACAAGTGATGGAAAACGGACACGGATGACGGGGAATGAGGAGTTAGGAGAAATGAGATGAAAATGCTGAGCATAAAAATGCAGTCCGCGAAATATTGACATATTGACGTTGGGTAGTGGGGGGGGTGGGGACGAGTAATTATAAACGTACGTGCGAAATTTATAGTACGAGCGAAATTGACATCAACGATCATGAACTAAACCAAAAGACGCATAATAATGCAAAAAGACATGCGTGGAAAAAAGTGCGAGTTTGAGTTCCATGTCCATTTTCCAGTATGATGTGATCTCTTCTGAGACCCGTCAATAGCCCGCACACAACACGTTTTCCTCCCCGCATGTCTATGGAACTGGAGACGAATATTGGATTGGAGTCGACCCGACAGTGCGCGGCTGTTTTTCGTGCCTACCGGCGTGCAGGGCCTGCTGTGCGTGAGAGGCGGTGATAGGTCAGTCGATGTCCTTAATCACCAGCGGGGTGCGTGCCGGCGGAAGACCGTTCGTGCTCCACTGGACAGCCGGTAACGTGCCTCTGGACAGCCGTTAACGCGCCTCTGGACAGCCGTTAAGGTGTATATGGACGGTCGTATATGGATATGGATGAGAGGTAACGCGTGAGATGTGCATGGTAAAGGTTACAGATCGTTGAGCAGTCGTTGACGCGCATCTAGAGGACGTCAGCGTGTTTCTGGAAGCTTGTTAACGTTCATATGGAAGTTCGTTGACGTACATTTGGACACTGATGACCTTTAATGCGCAATGCGCATTTGAACCAATGTTGACGGTTAACAACCTCTGCCGCGCCTATACATAGATAGATATCCGTCACGTGGCTTTTACCGGCTTTTAGAACGATTATGAACGGACATAGGTGAACCTTTTGTCAGCCATCAGATGTCCTTTATGCAGCCATCAGTGCACCATGAGCGTCTAATACAGCTTTGTGCGACAATATCACTCCTGCATTTTGCCCTCATGTGGTCTGTAAGTAGAATTGTTTGCAGCCATGCATTAAAGTTCCGCACTAGTCGGTGTATCGATCCCAGGACAATGTACTCCGGCAAAGAAGTGCATTATTTAGGAGGCATCAGCGTTAAGTCTTATACAAAATTCATACGGCACGTAGGGTGCTTCAGGTAAGCCACTGCATTGCAAAATATCGTTTAATATCAGAATAGATTCTCGCTCATGCAAAACAGGCCCAAACTGCTGTTCAACAATGGAACTTCTTGGATCAACTCACATAGTACAGACACGGTAGATAAACACGCCGAAAGTACGACAATAGTTTTCTGAAACTATTTTCGCTCAATGTCTTGGGGGTCTCAGATTTCCTGGAAGTACAAAGTTTGCTTTCTTACCAAGAAGGAAGGATCCCCGAGGCTAGTTAACATAACCGAACGCGCTATAAATGGAATGTTGGCTGGACTGACCTTGGAAAGAGAAGACTAGGTTGATGATAAACGGATGGTCCAGTGAGGAGAGAATCTGCACCTCGCGGATCACGTTGGCAATCGCCTCCTTCTCCAGACTCTGTCGCTTGTTGGTGTACTTCATGGCGTACATCTGGCTGTTGCTCTTCCGCCGCACGATGCATACCTGGAGGCAGTTAGATGCGTTTTACTGCACTGATTTACTGCATTGTGCACTTTACTACACTGATGTCAGAGTCTCAGCGACGCCATTCGTACATTCATATACCAGAATCTCCATATTGCTTGTCATCAGTGAAGATGCAAAACATTTGCGGTGAATAAATAAAATTGATTGTTCCCTGGAATGGAAAGTAAAACTTGCCAACAAAAATGATTATTACCTATTGAGAATCAATTGGTTAGCAGCAGCGGTGGCAGAAACTAGCAAAACAGCACTGTTTCGCTTTCTTTTTCTCACTCGGGAGTTGTACAAGACGGATCGACTCGATCTGTATCCCCTTGTAGGCAATAACGAAAACAGTTTGAAACGTTCGAACTGGACAGATGTTTTAGTGTTTCCTACTAACATAATTCGCTTAAGTACCGACGTGCGCGTGCTTATACACCGATTGCCAGCCCATTTACATTATGAGGGCCTAATAAAGGTGTGCAGGTGATTGCAATCGCCTGCAAACCATTAATCAGCCGTTCATTCGCGCTGCACGCAACAGGCCGCCGACCCTAGGTCGTGACACACTGTGTCCCGTGCAAATTGACCCATCAATAAAGCGGGTGACGGTATACTCGCGGAATTGGACAACATATGATCGATCCACGCTGATTCGAGTAGGAGTACTGCACCATTTGTGTCCGTTGGAGGCATTGATGTGTCGATGGCATCCGCTTTCATGAACTGCCAAAAAGGCATGCTTTGAATAAGTTTTTGTATCTGTTTTATGCGCTGTTTTACCGCATAATTGTAAAATACATCATGTACTTATGTTCGTGTGCCACAATTAACAGCCATTATCGCTGGGATCGACCTCAAGTAGATGCATATACATCTAGCTCTCACATCGACACGAGCACGGCCTACTCAGTGCTGGCCACAAACGATATTGGCACAGTGTATGTTGGCAGGGCAAACACCCTGATTGCGGCGCCCTCATGACGTTGTGATGCCGCTTATATGGATCTACGATCGATCGCCCTGGCCGATGGATGGATGGTATATAGTTATCGTGAGCTGCTCCGGACGTCCTTACGGGCACACGAGTCTCGTGAGTGGGTATCATGCCATTGGGTACACACGTGAGCCGCTCCGGAGATAGGGGAATAATGGGGACATTAACGGCGCCGAGTCGGCACGAAGAGGATGTCACAGCTCAAACTTGCTGAATGCTGTGGTAAAGGAAATTGTCTCTGATATAAGCAATATCATTTTGACAAGCTCATTCAAAAATGATCCTAATAATAACGTAATGGTATTCTAGGATGGCAAGATTGAAAAGTGAAAATGTCAGTGTGTATGCAACAAATGTCCTAAACTTTATATTCAGGAGAATATTGCTGTTTATGTGTGTTCACTGAGGAAAGTCTCTCCTTAGATTGTGTTACTGAAACGTAACGTCAGTACCACGTCATTCGTCAGATGTGCTAGTGAACTGATGATAATATTGTAATTTCCCATCACGATGTGCAGCATATTCATTTCGTATTTCCCACGAGTTGAGCCGGCTGGGGCCCGGGCCCGGTCGCGGGACCTCCTTTCAGGAGCTGTGCTGTCATTAAGCGGCAGCACGCGCGCTGACTCTTGTTAGTGAGCCCGGAGTTCGACCGAGTGGATTCTGCCACTCGAGCGGTCAGGCCAGAGAGCGGGCAGGGCTCGGCTTGGCGTCACAGGAAATGACAGCACCCTCTGCTGCCTCTGACGGCACAGTCACTAACAAGGCCGACTTCAAAGGACCACCGTGAGCGTCACAGAGAGAACAAAGCACAAGTTATGTCATTGTTATTGGCAAGGTGAGCTGACACGCTACTGAAATACAAGACGAGATACTCTTGTAACAGGTTCCTACGCGTGTGGAATATGATGATGGCTAGAAAAGTCGATCCAAATGAGCAAATGCGTCAAAAGAACATATTTTCATATATTTATCATGCAGAGAACCAAAATAGGATATTTGATTACTCTATTGGTGATATAAAACAAAAAATAAAATGAATTTTTTTAACTTTATGAACTTTTTATTTTTGACGCATCGCACCTAGACCCACTAGAACAAAAAACTTCCCATATGTATGTCGTCACCATCCTGCACCAAGACATGACTTTGTGCTCCTCGCGCCAAACTGTCACCACTGGGAGTTTCAATCCACTTTCGCCAACAGCGTCTTCGTGGTGCTGTTCAGAATGCCGGCGGCGACGCGGTCGGCTGCGGATCATCGCCGCCCCAGGCGACAATATCGCCGCCGGCTAGCGGGCCACTTGTTGCGTTATCGTGGCCCATCGCAGCCGCGTCTCAGCCCATTTGTGAACAGCGTCCCCTGAGACGAGACGCAGTGGCGGATCGGGCGCATCTGGGAGCGTATCGACCAGCTGGTGCCAACTGATCGAGAAGAGAGAGAGAAAAAAAAAGAGAGGGAGAGAGAGGGAGGTTAGGGGAGAGAGGGAGGGAGGGAGGGAAGAGAGAGAGAGAGAGAGAGAGAGAGAGAGAGAGAGAGAGAGAGAGAGAGAGAGAGAGAGAGAGAGAGAGAGAGAGAGAGAGAGAGAGAGAGAGAGAGAGAGAGAGAGAGAGAGAGAGAGACGGCGAATAATCGTGAGGTTCGGCTGCGATATAAATCCTGTAGACGAAATGCCAGCCCGAACTCTCACACTGGTCGGGCGATCGCTCAGGGAGCGGCTGGCCCGCGGGTGTGGGTGGTGTCTCGATCCAGCTGCAGCAGCTCGCTGTATCACTGTGCTGGCCCGGGGCCGGGTCTGTGGGTGGCGTCTCGGCCCAGCTGCAGCCTCGCTGTATCACTGTGCTGGCCCGCGGGTGTGGGTGGCGTCTCGGCCCAGCTGCGGCCTCGCTGTATCACTGTGCTGAAAGTAGCGACTCGGGCCCCGGCGGCGGTCACAACCGATCGAACAGTGCCGCGGTCGGCGGAGTTCCATTACGGCGCGGCAAATGGGTCGGCGGCGTCGCGGCGATTAAATTAATCAGCGTCCGAGCCGCACTACCGCGCCACACGGCGACCTGCACGCGGCAAACAGCCCCACCTTTATACGGCGCGGTGGACGGTGGTGTACAGTTACACCCGTGTGGTGTCGTGGCACAGAATACACGGAGCTGTACTTACACAGTGCCCCACTGGGCAGTGAGCAGGGGAGAGTGGGGCACATTCGTGCAAAAAATGGATAAACCCATATATCTGTTCTTTGGTTAGTGCAATGGCAAAATTGTTGATTGTAGTATGGAAAGGAACTATTGCAGATAGTTTTCCTCTTTAAAAGTTATCCTCTAAAATTATTCCTTCCATTAGAAAAAATGACTTTTAATAACTCTGAACATTTGCACGAAACTGCCCCACCTATGGGGCACATTCGTTCAAGAGGTGGGGCACTTCCGTTCACCCTGCAAAGTTCGAGAAATTACCGGGCATTACCAGAAATTTACCAAAGGAAATTGGCAGGGGGTCATTTCACTTGATTTCTTTCGACAAGAATGCATTGCACAACATATGTAGAAAGAATGGGCTGGCCAACAAGAATGTGCCAACTGCCGGCCTCCGTGACCTCGCCAAGTTCGCGTGAATTGCTCGTCACGACGTCGCAAGCAGTCGAGACTGAGTCAGGCGAGCGTCATTAGAGAAACCTACTACAGATAAAGTCATAAATCGCAAAAAAAAAATGCACGAATGTGCCCCCAGGCAGTGCGTACACGAACCTGCCCCACAACGCTATTAGTAATATATTTCAAAATTTCTTTTTGAAAAATGACACTTTTTCAACAAACAAGTTTGCAGCAGTTCCGTGAATAGAGTGAGCTTCTTCACCCCCAATTTTGAAAAGCTGAACTACATTTCCGAGTCAGGATCACGAAAATGGATAATATGAGAAAAGTTTGGAAAGCTCACGAATATTACAAATTTGCGTTTTTACCAAGCATGACAGCAGGTACAGTGTTGTCTTCTACGGTGAACGAAGGGCGGCAATGATAGACATATTTCCATAATTTACCTTGAGCTCGTGCAGTCACTCGTGTTCCCATAAACTGCTGAAAACGAATGTGCCCCATGCACGAATGTGCCCCACTCTCCCCCACTGCCTAGCCGCACTTCAGTACCACAGTGAGCACTACATACTACCTACATAGCCGCACTTAAACGGTACCACACTGAGCGCCACATAGCCTAGTCGTTACACGGCACAGTATAACAGTGCAATATCCAGTACCTATTCACAGTAGCACAAACAGTATAACGCGGACACACTGAAGACTGGAGAGTTCACACTGCACGTTTGCACACTACACACTTGCACAGACATGACCCGTCCCCCACGCGCAGATAGCAGCACAATTCTATTTTCTACCACATATCTAGTATAGGTACCTAAGGGGCATATTATCCAGTACAACAGTATACATATGTTGGCCATTATCCAGATTAGCACTCTCCATATTGACACACAAAATGCACAGTGCAACGCGCATAACAAACATTAAGTCTAAAACATCCAACTTCCATTGCACTCAGCTAATCACACTCTTCAAACCGTACACACTGCTGCATGTGGCCAAAACACTGCTCACAACGCAGGCCCCGCGCTGCACACACCCAAACAACAGGTATGATACATATGTTGCAGGCACTTTAGAAAATCAGTCATTTTGTAAAATGCCTAGGCATTTTGCAAAATGCCTGAATTTCCAGGCTTTTTGCAAAAAGCCTAGGCATTTTACAAAATGACTGACTCTCCAGTCATTTTGCAAAATGCCTAGGCATTTTACAAAATACCTAGCCATTTTACAAAATGACTGAGCAGCGTGTTGTAGATACGAGTACCTAATTATATACGTTTTGGTAGCGTGTAGGTGGACCGAGGAGTCCAGCATTATGACCAGAGGAGTCCAACAGTGGGAAGTCCATACCTACCTCTATTTTGAGAAGTGCAAGCCCGCGACATTTCCAACCCCCACGTCAGCGACGCTGCTGGATTTAAAATGATCGATCTGGAGCGTCAACAAACGACTGGCCCTATGCCGGCCTGTATCTGTAAAACTATTAGAGGTCGCGAGGATTCGATCCCACAAACTTAGGCGTTAGTGTCTTCTGAAACCAACGCTCTCGTCCTACGCCAAGCGACCTGATGATTCTCCCGATGTGGAGCTTGATATTTTTAACTGGGACTATGCAAGTAGGTACTCAAAGCTGTCAAACAAAGACACAATCAAACAAAGACTACACTCATTCGTTTACATGTAATCGTACATCAACCGGGCCTGCCTATTGACTAGGGCCGGTCTCCGGCCGATTTTGTTAGGTCTAGTTTCAGGCAGAACATGAACGGCGTTGATGTACTTGGGAGTTTTTACAGCGTTAACTTAACAATGCTTTATGCTACAGCCGAGTCTTCAACTCAACCTGGTCGTTACTCAGCATTGTCGTCATCACAGAGCTTCAAATCGATCAGCTACAGGCTGAACACGTACCTATAGGGTATAGGAAGACGTCCAAAAACTGTTGGCCATAGTATCTGTAGTGGGATCTACGTTCCATGCTGGTCAGGCATTTTGCAAAATGCCTAGTCATTTTGTAAAATGGCTAGCCATTTTGAAAAAAGCCTGGTTGCGTTCAGTCATTTTTCAAACAGCCGTCTTTTTGTAAAATGCCTAGGCATTTTACAAAATGACTGATTTTCTAAAGTGCCTGCAACACATATACCGTTCTCTGAGGGGGATCGCGTCAGGCGGCGCCAAATGTGCTCCCTGGACGGAGCGCTGGCCCGCCTCCTTCACCGCTAACAGTCACTGCACACAACACTCCCCACACAATCACACGGTACCGGCCAGGCGCCGCCCAGCGGCCGGAAAACATGGTGTCAGGCATACGGAGAAATCGACCAGAAAACACCGGCCCGCTGCTGAGCAACACAACACGCGGGGGGCCAATGTGTACGGAAAGTAGCGGCCGTCGTACTGCACAAAAACCAGTGTCACATAAACTGTCCGAGGCATTGGACTGACACTTGGTTATTTACCACCCCGTCTCGGTTATTTTTGATGACTCCCTGCCAGCTGTATTCCCGAGGGAACAGCGTATAGAGCTGAACTGAAGCTGCCCTGTCGCCTGCCATTTCAGATCGGATGGTGCACGCTGAAATTCGGAAATGAGATACCAAGCCTCTGAAGGAGATGAGTTCAATCTTTTATAAGATTAGTACTTACTTCCTCTAGTTGAAAATCAAGAAAAGTTATTTGTGAGAATCTCTACTTGACCTGGAAAATGAGCAAAAGAAATAACGGAACAAATAATACACGGACAGTACTAATTTGTATTAAATATTCTAGGCCGCTTGTTCATCTCGCTCACGCCTAGACAAAGAAAACATTAAAACTCAATTGCCTCTTTAATTACAACCTTAGAAGTACTGATCGCGTTTAATACGAAACATCCTTTACATGCATCTTGGAGAATAGAGCCTGGAATCTCTGACTATTTCCCGTAAGATGGCCACCGTACATCAACGTAGCTATCTTGATGAGCTTTGTAGTGGAAAATTAGAAGAGCACACACAGTGACACCGCGCCACAAAAGTGTTGGCACAACGATCACGCAACGCTGGCATCCAATGCGATAAGCAAACAGGAAACCGTCTGCCGCGATTGGGGCAGAAAAGCAGCTCAGTTGTACTTACATCGAATGGGAGCTCAGTCGCATTTGGAGTCAGGTGACTGGAATTTCTAGTCACACCCCCGCACCTCAAATGTGACAGACAGCAGCTCATGGCTGCACACTCCAGCTCCACTGAATGGACTGAATTCGAACCTCGGAACCGATTCTGCTGACCTAATGTCTAAATTGCGCTGCTATGGTGGCTTACAGCTAAGCTGCTGACACAGACAGAAGTATCCTCAGAGGCCTTTTGCGGGCGACATTTTATTGATCTGGCTCATTAGTGCCTGACTAACTACATCGCACACGCGGCGCAGTACTGGTGGATAGATTATCCAGAGGTTGTCTAACACGACAGGGGGCTGTGTCAGCATGGATATATGTATATGTAGGCTTTTTCCATCGACCACATGGCTGGGCTGCATCATCACGGAATGATGCTTTATCATATTATTTCAAGAGCTGGTTATCATAGAACCGCAGTGTGACCACAGGGGTCGCGCCAGGACAAATAAGGTACCCATGGAAATCGGCATCATTTTGGATGAACAGGCTTGTCATCAGGGTGACTGGTTCATGACTCTTGAGCAGTTTGACCTTCAACAATATATGTAATAACTTTGGGATCGCTATATACGGTGTTATTTGATGAGGCCAAAACTGTTTGATTAATATTTCTAATAGTTCCTTGGATTGATCAGTAATGAGTTTCACGCAGCACTTATGGGTAAATTCTTTCTTTACGTCACCAAAGTTCAAGTATAGCTGCGTTCTAAGCTATTTGTCTCGCGGTCCTCCTCCTTTGCCATACCGTCACATAACTCATTTCCTCACCTTTCCGAAACTGCCCTTTCCGATAGCTCTCAGGACTTGAAAATGGTCGAAGTTTACTGAAATGAGACAGGCAGTCACTCTGTAAGCACAAAAGTTTGATACTATCACCAAAGCAGATCGAGCAAAAATGTGCGATGCAACGTCAGATATTATAAGAAAATAAACAATACAAGATTGTGCAAAAAACTACCAGGTTTGTCCGAATTAGCAGCAATAAAGAGAGTTTTTGCTCAGAGAAATTACTTTACATTATTTCTTTATGACATATTGGCTGCTTCCGTCTTCTCCAACTAAAACCAGGCTAATTACTGGATGAAATAAAACAAATTCGAAGAATGTGCTTAAACTATTTCACATAACATTATCCCGCGCCCTGGTGGGGGGGGGGGGCTATTTTTTGCCCCCCCCCTCCAGACTTTTCGATATATCTCCAGAACCGCTGCGCCGATCGTCACCAAACTTTCAGTACCCTCCCGGACATCAATTTTACACATTGTGACCAAACATTTATCCAAAGGCTATGATAGGTTGGCCGGAAATGACGTCAGAGTGACGTCATGTTCTGCCGTTTTCGACCCAAAAAAGGGTTTCGCGGGAAGAGCTGTCAGGCCTATAGCTTTGCAAATACAGAAAAACGATAGAAACATAAAAGCTGTAGAATTGACAGGGCTACAAAACTGCTATCTCGGATTTGTGAAATTTTTGGATTTTGACCCCCAAAAATAAAAAAACAGATTTTTTGATTATAATAGCCGAAAAATCCAAAAAGTTTTTTGAATTTCGAAAAAAACGGAATATATGTGATAGTCCTTACCGCCTTCTATCTACATACCAAATTTGAGATCGATACCTCTTTTTTTGGCTAAGTTACAGCGAAAAAACTGTTCAAAATTGATGACGTCAAATTTTCAAACTCAATTGTTTGCAATTCTAGACCTCGTAGCGCAAAACAAAGACCACCATTAGACTCCCCGTGACGAGCTGCATCGAATCAATACCCATTTTATGCAAAAATATCAACTTTGAAATTTGACCTTTTTTGACCTGACCTTGACCTGACCTCCACCAGAAAGTGGCCTAAGCCGTACCTGATAGTCTTATAACCAACACCATTGAGTTGGAAATGAAAAATTGGCCATAAAACATGCATCGCACAACCTTAGTACCTAAAGTTAGGTTCATGTGACCTGACCTGTGACCCTTGGTGACCTGACCTGTGACCTGGGTAATGTCAGTGACCTCTTATAGCAATATATGTACTAGGCAACTGACGCCCTATCGCTGATTCTCGACAAAATGCGTTTTCTTCGGTGTTATAGCGCATTCCCTAGATGACCCGTGAACGGTGAAACATTTCATCTTTGACCTGACCTGTGACGTCATCGGTGACCCCGAGGTCAATGAAATTTGGTTTCCCTCGACAAATTTGACAGGCCTTTCGAACACCGTTTGAATTTTGCGGATCCGTCCAGTAGTTTCGGAGATACGAGGGGGGGCAAAAAATAGCCCCCCCCCACCAGGTCGCGTTATAAACAGACCCCACCAGGGCGCGGGTATATTCCGGATCTTTGAAAATCTGGAATGTCGATTTTAATATGCCCTTCAGCCGGAAAACTGCATTTTAGAAACGTAAAAGCATAGTAAAAGTAACGAACAAATGATATGCGATGCTTAAGTGTCCAATCAGTGGTTTATTTACCAAAATAACATTATATGTGCTGTATATTTTTGTGCTCTGAGACGACATAACACACGGTTGGCATTTCCAGACATAAGATAACCAAACACTTTCACGTTAGGGTCATACCTATTCTTTGAAGATTATTATAAACTTTCATTTATTCCTTTCTAGCATAAGCTATCCGCTCTATTTCAGTCCCAACAAAGTTATGTCTCAACGTCTGCATAGTGCAGACAATGATATCTCGTAATTAGCAGGCTCTCGTCGCCCGCTGCTCTATTGGTTTAGTGCTCATGCCGAGTTGATATTCACTGCTGGCCACCGAGTGTTCGGAGTACTTACTCTCCTCGTTGACAGCCTGGCCGTCCTCCGAATGGGACTGGCCGGCGCCCATGGCTGGCGGCCGCGCCCAGGTCAGGTCAGGTCAGGTCAACTCTGCAGCACCACTGTAGACTGAGCAGCAGCAGCTGTAAACAGAAATACGGCACTGGATCAGAGATGGCACCCATACGGCTCAGCTCAGCCCGGCTTAGTTCAGCTTATCGCGCCTCCCTTCGGCTCAGCTGGTCTGGTCTTATCCTAGATCAGCTCAGCTTAGGTAGATCGGATCGGGGACGTTATCACCGTGACCCTCTCCTTCTCACCGAAAGGTCAATCGATCAACCGAGGCCGGGACTTCATCCGTCACTGTATGCAAGGTGTGGCTGTCCAATGTCCAGGCCCCAGGGTGTCTGCTATGACTAGGATTATCAATCCAATGTTTTAGTGAGTCTCGCCTCCACTAATTGGCTCACGTAGGTATACAGTACCTTTGAAGACGAGGAAACTAAGACATGCTACAAATACAACCTTTGCATCCAGGTCGAATGATCTTAGATACGATCTAACATCCAGGGCGAGACCACCATCACCCGCTGTGCCTATAAGGTAGGGCAGTATCAGTCTTCACCGCGGGGTGGGGTCGCCAAAATACACACTGTATCCTGGCCCCAGCCTTTACCTTTCCTACATGCCGGGGTATGTCTTAAGCACAGCACGAGCCGGGCAGTAAAACTATGACCAAGAAACTGTCGGTGTCAAAATGCCATGTTGTTTGATAGGCCGGGCAGGAATATATATTACTGACCGGGCCGACGAAATTATTTGGAAACGAGGTTTGCAAAATTGACGGAGGCCCGAGTGCGGAGCACGAGGGCCGGAGTCAAATTTTGCAAGCCGAGTTTCCAAATAATTTCGTACGGCTGAGGTCAGTAAGATTTTTCCTACATGCCGCGTACCTGCTAAGTAGTTTCGACAGGTTTTGGTGACACTTTTATGCAATTGTTTTCCATAATTTCCTAACAGTGATTGCGCTACTGCTGTGGATAAAGCTTCAAAGGAAATTTATAGAAGAAAATGTATCAAAATACCTTACTTCAAAAAGAATCGCGTCTGAAAATATCAACTCAGAATGGCACAACTGGATATCCAAGGAACATAATACATTAATAATTTGCCAGGACATAAGAACAAGAAGAAGGAATAATATTCCTAGTGATTAAACGTGAATTTTCCAGTGCTCTTGCAAGAATTTTTTCTTTATTTATGTAATCGTACTTTGTTGATTCCCTATGGCTAAACTTTCGTGAAATACATTATGTTTTCCATATTTTACATGTTTGTTTCGAGGAAAGGACTACAAATGTCAAATAATAACACAATAGCTTAGGCCCAAGGTATCAGTGGACATATCAAACGAAGATAAGACGACAAGCGATCAGTTCACCAGCGACCTCTGGCGCGGACGGTCCGGTCGGCCGCGCTCCGCTGCGGCGTGTCTCGGCCGGCGGCGGACGGAGTGACCGGGAGGCGGCCGGAGCCAGCTGGGACTGTTAATGGTCATTGCAGTGCTTTAGCATGACCTGGTGACTGTTTTCGTGAGCACGGCTGTGTGGCTTCATTAGTGAGTGCCAGTACAGACTTACCTGAGCAAAGGGAAGTCATGCCGCGACCGGAGGAACGGGACGGTGTTCATGAGGAGCAGGACTCGGACCCGCAGCGATCAATGAGCCGCGGATCATCGGTGAGTGAGCTTGTACGGACTTATGACGACGGCGCCGGTAAACGAGACCGTTCTGAGTCGGGAGATGCCCCGGTTCCGAAGGGGAAGAGAGGAGCGTTGGATCGTGGCGGTGAGCCGAGTCGTAGTCCGGCGCAGCGGTCTCAGGTATCGCTTAAGGAGCATTTCGACGACGCTCTGGAAAGACTCGAAAACCGTTTGACTGTTTTTGTGTCCAGTGAGTTGCATGAATTTAGAACGACTTTTCAGGCGCAGTTGGACGCTTTTGGTGTAAGGTTGGGAGAACTGGAGAGCCACATCGAAACTAGGGATGAGGTAATAGAAGATCTCCGTGGCCAGCTACGGGATTCCAGGGATGAGATCAGCAGGTTACAAGCAAGAACAGAAGAGGCCGAGATGATCTCCCGGCTTCCCTGCCTGGTGCTGTCGGGCGGAGCCATGGCGGCCCGCAGTGCGCCTCCCCCTCCTCCCCGGCCGAGCGCCTCCGCCGGCGGTGGTCCGGCGGACCAGCCGGTCGGCGCCCCGGGCGAGCGGAGTCCCGGGTCGGCCGCCGCGGCACGGGCGGATTCAGCGGCACGGGCCGGGGAGGCGCCTCCTCGGCGGGCGGGACGCGACGCCGGATCGTATGAACGGGAAGACGTCTGCGCTCTCGTGGTGGACGTGCTGAATCGCAGCTTCGGTGGACTGAATGTGTCCGAGGGTGATATAGACAGAGCTCACCGACTGCAAGGGGCGAACAATCGCGTAATAGTGCGTTTTGTCCGTTCGGGCAGAGGGAGTGTTCGCGACCAGGTAATGTGGCGCCGGCTAGAGTTGGCCGGTAAGAATCTGTATGTGAACGAGAGTCTGATTCCTCTTCGCAACAAGATTTATCGCAGTCTGCTAGACGCGAAAAAGGAGAAGAGGATACATACAGTGTTCTCGCGCGGCGGCCATGTTTTCTTTAAGCGGGAGAAGTTCGCAGTGAGTGAGAGGGTCGAGTCTCTGGACAAGGTGCGTCAGCTCGGCTTCTCAGTGCAGGACGACCCGCCACCGCGGAGCGAGTCACGTGACGCTTGGCGCCCTGCACGTGATCGGCGAGGGGCGTCGACCCGCTGAGAACTGATGTAGCGGTAAGCGGCAGCCGGGGCTGGTGGACTTATTTGGCGCGCTGCCAAGACCGTCGATCTGTTGAGTTTTCGAGTGTTTTGCTTTCTTGAAGTGTAGTATCATGATCTAAGCTACTCTGTGGCATGGGAGGCAGAACTTCCTGACCCCCGGACCCCCCCCCCCCCCACCTCATGTCCTCCCCGCCCCTTCCCGCCGGCCCCACACGCGTAACATTGTTTGCCGTTTGAAGGGAGATTCATTCTAGTGAGTTGAATGTTTTTCCTTTTATTGGCCAGATATCCCGTTAGACTTTGTGTGTTGCGTTGTGTATATCCATCTGGGGATATTGTGTGAGGGGAATGGTGGGGTATGTGTGTGTGTGTGGGGGGGGGGCTGCTAAACGGAGCGGCGGACATTTAAAGTATTCGTGTGGTAAGAAGATGTGTTTAGTTGGTATGAGGCCATTTTATTGCTGGCAGGAACTGGCTTTTTCTGGTGGCTTTCTTTTCTGAGCTCGTGAAATGACTCTGAAGCCGAAGCCAGCAGTCGTGCTCATGAGTTGGGATGTTATGATTATGTTGAGGTTTTTGGAACATTATTACTGCTCACGTGAGTTAAGATATAGAGACATTGTGCATGTATTGAGAATATTGATCTCGTACATTTTAAGATTCGAGGGTCGTTTAGCTTGCGATGAGTAAGATCAACAGAAGGTGCATTAGTATTGGGAGCTTGAACGTCCGGGGCATTCGGCAAACAGAAAAGAGACGGGACGTAATTGACTTTTTAAGAAAAAGTAACTATTCGGTAACGTGCTTAATTGATACTCATGTCACAGAAGATTTAATAGATGTTGTGCGTTCCGAATGGGGTAGCGAACTAGTAGCCAGTTACGGAACAAACAACTCTAGAGGCATCATAATATTAATAAATCGCAATGCTGGGGTAAATGTTTGCAGTACTCTAGTAGACCCAGGGGGAAACTACGTGATAATAAGTGCTGACTGTGAAAATTTTGGAAAAATTAACTTGATAGCGCTGTATGGTCCTAATGAAGATAATCCCAATTTTTATAGGGAACTTTTCATAAAAATCGAATGTTTGCCAGAGGATCCCTCCGTCTTTGTTGGCGATTGGAACATGGCATTAGATCCGGCAAACGACACTAAACATTACAGGCGAGTGGGAAATCCAACTGCTAGGAAAGTGGTACTAGATTTCATTGAATCTGAACAAATGTGTGACGTATGGCGCCAGCTGCACCCTACGACGAGGAGGTACACATGGCGTAAGCCAACACCGCTGAGACTAGCTAGGTTAGACTTTTTCTTGGTTTCCCCGGAACTGATGAGCATGGTGGGAACCGCGGATATCGAAGTTGGATACAGAACTGATCATAATTTGGTCTCACTAACACTTTTGTCCCGCGCAGCTAGGCAGAGAGGAGGTTTTTGGAAGTTCAACAATTCTCTATTGGATGACAGCGATTTTGTGGAAATGATTCGCAAAAGTATAAGAGAATTCAAGCGTCAGTATTTGCTGCCAATATATAACCCCGTCACAATGGATAGCGACGAAGACGCAGTCCTTATTGTGAATGATCAATTATTTTTGAAACTTTGTTGTGCCATTTAAGAGGATTGAGTATTCAGTATAGTGCGAGAAAGAAACGGTTATCAACGGAAAGAGAAAATAAATTAATTAGTGAAATTGTAACACTGGAACATAGAGTACAGAACGAGGGGGACAATGTTAGTTTGAACGAGCTTTATAATGCCTCTGCTGAGTTACAAGAACTTCGTAAGAGCAGGATGAAAGGCGTTCTGCTAAGAGCGAAGGCGCGATGGATCGAGTATGGGGAAACTCCATCTCGTTACTTCTGCAGCCTAGAAAAGCGGCAGTACACGCAAAAATATATATCTTGTTTAGAGGTAGGTGGGACTTTGATTTCAGATCAGGAGGAGATAATGACGGCTCTAGTCAGACACTTCTCGGAAATTTACAAACGTAAAGTGAGGCCAAAAAAATTACAAGATATAGAACATTTGTTGGGAAATAATACGATTCGATTGAGTCACGAAGAGAAGAATAGCATTGAGGGAAAAATATCCATCTCGGAGGCATCGCAGGCGATGAAAAGTTTACATAATGATAAATCCCCTGGCCCTGATGGGTTTACTGCGAATTTCTTTAAGACCTTTTGGCCGGAAATTGGGTACCTGGTTGTGAGATCCTTTAATTATGCGTTTGAAAACGGCCATTTATCGGTCACTCAAAGGCAAGGACTATTAACTCTCATTCCTAAACCAGGCAAACCAA